AATAAGCGGCTTGCTTCGTGAAAACCGGCCATGGTAGTGGTCTTTTTTTAATATTTTGTGTACAGTATCCACGTGAATTTGCTCTGGAATGTCTGGTCAATATATTTCTATAACAGAAGTCCAGTTAGACGAGGATTATCTTTCACTGAATTAATAATGCTGCGGGTTTCTCTTGTTGACAGCTTGGATGGACGCCCAGATCCCAACTTCGAGGCCAATAATCCTGTTTAGTTGTAGTTATTCACTACTCTTTGGATAAAAGAATGTGACCGCTTAACGATTTGACCAATTTCATGATATATTTTCCTTTTTTTCCATAGATCAATAATAATACTGCTCCCACTGATAATAATTTCTTTTCCTTTATTTGCCATTACAAATTTAATTACTTTTTAATCGTTAAATATAAAATAAGTGCATGGGATTGTGTATGATGATATACTGTTACAGTAAAACATAACGACGTCAAAGTTCTACTATTAAAACTTCGGGAATTCCCCTTTATAATTTTTGTACGCAGACTTTTTCTGCCACCGATAGCGTTGATTTTTTACATTTTTAATTATTATAATTTTTCTACTAATTTGTTAGAAATAAGTTTAAACTTAAAATAAAGATAATGAATTAAAGTACAAACAAAAAATAAAATTGATTTAAAAAATTTACTTATTTACTAATTTTTTATATGTTGAAACAAAATTTACTTTCTGTACGCAGAGTTTTTCTGCTAAGTGTATATGCGTACCCTTATAAAAAGAGTTAAAATACTGTCTGTTTTGCAGTTTTGACAGCAAACATATGGATGTATATTTTTTAATTTTTGGTATAAAAATTGTGCTATACCTATTTTTTGGTAACTGCCATTAAAGTGTTTGCAAAATTCTTTATCTAATTTTTGAATATAATCTACGAAATATTTAGGAGGTTGCACCAAATTACAGTTATCAAACTCTTTTTCAAGAGTAAAAAAGTTTTCATATGAAAGAACATTTGCTAAGGGTAGGTTAGCTTGGCAATTGTGTGATTTGTGAATTTTAAAGTATAACCACCCGCATACATAAATAAATGCATTTCTGCTAAGGAATATACGTTCATCCATATCAATATCAACATCAAAATCAAAACAATGAAGAAAACAGTGCATGGGTTCTCTAAACATATGAGACTCCTGCCAGAACGTGTCAATCACTAATGCATCACTGCATACAGTTTCTAAACTTTGATCAGGGGAAATTGGAGTAAGTGAATTAATGGTAGGCCCTACGGTAGAAGGACAGTCAAATTCAATTAATTGCTCAGTATTGCCATTTACTATGCAATTCAAATAACTTAATCCCCATCTCTTCTGAAAAAGGCAAGTGAATAAATGTGGAGTGATGCCTGCACAATTGCCTCCACCACGTCGTATTTGTCCAAAAAAATGTTCTATCACATCTTGACAAAGCTTCCTGCTCATTAAAATCTGAAAATTCTTAGAGGCTAAATATTGCCATATATGCTGAAGGCTGTTAATATTGAGAAGCCACCCTTTAATAAAAGAGAAGTTCTTAACAATATTGTTACCTTCGTTGTCTTCAAATCTAATGGATTTGAGAAGAATTTCGGCTTTTTGCAGAAAATCCAATTGTTCAATTGATCCGCAAAAGCCTTTTTTAAGTCCTAAGCTACTGATGCTGCTTGAATTGAATACATCAAAAAGATTATTAAAAAACAAAACAAATTCAGCAGTGTTAACAGAACTCGTATTACTTGAATCAATTAAACCTGATTTACACAATGCTCTCCTTCCTGATGCAACTGTGTTGCTAAATACTTGAGAAGCAAATCTGACACGCATTTTTTGAAAAGAATTGGGCCTAATATGTGCATTTGTCAAGTGAGGCGCACATCGAATAGTTGATTTTGAATCAATATTAAAAAAATGAACAATATCTCCCCAATTTACTTTACAATTATTAAATATAACATTATTACTGCTATTTTCTAAACAATTCCTGGTACTTTTTATCAAATGGGGTGCATCATAAAAAAAGAATATCTTTTCATCATTGACATTGAAAAAAGGGTGATGCACATCTGCTTCTAATAACTTAGCTAATTTAATATTGTTTCTACCCTGATCACAAACGAAATGGCATGGGTAAAGATTAATGCCCTGAAGTTGTTGAATTACTTCAATAACATACGTTTTCAGAACTTCACCCTTGCAACTTCCATTTACAAAAAAGTATGCAAGAGGCTGAGACCATCTTACTCCTGCGATTCCTTGTACCATGAAAGTCAAGACAGTACTTGCAATTTTGCAAGTACGATCTTCACCACCAAAATCTTCAAGCCCAACTATTTTGTCATTATGTCTGTCATACTGAAGGTGACCTTTCAAAGACATTTCATCGCAGGATACAGAAACGAATCTTTGTTCGTATGAGAAGCCACGACTTCGTAACTCCAAAGCTTTAATACTACTATGCGTGCAGCCTGGAGACTTGGGCCAACTTGTGAAATTTTATTAAAATTTCTGAATATTTTTCGTTAAGTTTTCTTTTTCTGGGAGTTGCTTCAGAAAGACTATTGTCTGATTGGACCTCTCTTCCACAAACAGAAATTTCACTCCTATCAAGGGTTTTACTAACTCCTATGCTAGAGAGGTGATTTTGCTTTTCATTTTCCACATTATTTTCGTTGTTAATTACATTTTTATTTAAATTACTAATGTAACTTAAATCTAAATAAACGTCCGGGATTGCGCATTTAGAAATTCGTGCAGAACACATCATTTCGGCAGAAAAATGATTGTTACAGGCAAACATAAATTTAGTTTGCCCAACTACTCCTAAGCGCTTCATCCATTCTGTTCTAATTTGGTAAATAATTATCAGAATTAAATGAAATACAAAAATAAAAATTGATTAAAAAATTAATTAATTATAAAGAAAAACAAGTATATTTGAGTAGTTACATAAAAAGGATCAACAATAAAAAATAAACATATTTAACTACAAATAATAACACAAAGTTAGATTTGTTTTTGCAGACGTTTCAATAATTTTCACAGAAATTGCTATGCTAAAAAAAAATTATTTACTTTTTACATACGATATACAATTAAATTTCAATAAATACATGCCATTGAAAATACAATACATTTAAACATCTATTTTGTAGATTACTTAACATTTATGATCAGTAAGATTCATATTCAATTTTTATTTGCTGGTATAGGATAAGAACTACAAGAAATATAAAAAACATTTTTATAACGATTTTTTTTTATATAATAATTTTAAATATAATTTGATTGAAATTAATATTTTCAATAATATTAAAAAAAAAAATCTGGAAACGTTGTTCGCAAAAAATCAGTGTTTTTATTATAAATTTTTATAATTTTATTGCTTTATCATTACGAACATGAATTACTACTTACAAATATTTTAATTAACACATCCATATTTGTTATTCCACATTTACTGTATTCCACATATACTGTAAAACAATTATGCAAAACACTTATGCCACAAATTTACGTAAAACTGAAATGCAAAGTTTACCTTCGTTCCTCATTGTTGTCCGGGAATTTATAAAGGGATTTAAACTCCTTACAACCTTTAATACACTTTTTCCCCATATTTTTATATAAATACTAAACTTTATTGTCACAATTTATTATTTATACAGTAATAACACAATATGCTACTACTTTCAATTTTAACTACTTTTCGTTAAATATTTGCGCGGTAAATTTTGTATGATTTGGCGCAACGAATTTTTATATTACTCTCAAAAAATCAAAACCAAAAAACAAAACCACACTCTTTCTTATACTCTTCGTGGTAAACTTTTCGAAATATTCTGTTCTCAAAAGTACTCGAAGCATCGGAAAAAGGTGAAAAGGTGAAAAATTTCAGTGATTTCAGCTGGTGTTATTGCACTTTTCACTAACACTTTTAAGAGCTCTACGGCAAATTGTTGTTGTGCGAAAAAACAAATTTTAGTTCACAATGGAGTTGCCGTTCTTGTAACGTATTCTTTGATGATTACGTTACAAGAACGGCAACTCCATTGTGAACTAAAATTTGTTTTTTCGCACAACAACAATTTGCCGTAGAGCTCTTAAAAGTGTTAGTGAAAAGTGCACTAACACCAGCTGAAATCACTTGTAGTGCCCATGACCTACGTTAATATCATATGTGACAAGCCACTGTTCATTCAGATAAAATAAATGTGTCATAAATTATAATATGCACTTTTGTCTGTTTGACGCTTTGACTTTGATCATATTACTTAAAAGAAATAGTTTGACTCATGCTGTTACAAATATGCATTTGTAACATAAGACATGATAAGCACGTATGGTCATTGCACTATTCCGACCTAAATTATGGAAAGTGCATTAACTCTTTAAAAACAATATATGACGTATTATTGTAATGCGTTAGAAGAGTATTTGTTTATAA